CTCTTTAAGACTTAACTTAGGTATTAAAATGACCTCTTTAGAAAACCTTTCGATGACCTTTAGTCTGTGTAGATGAGCTTTCTCGGCCCCACAGCTATCCTTCCTTCCCAAACACTGACGGAATTCCCTCAGTATTCCCATCAGGAAACGTAACACAGTGAGCTGACCTGCTTGCGACTTCCCTCTTCACTCTAATAGAAACCTAGATGAAATGTGAATAGAATAGACATTTACAAAATTTAAAATCTGGAATATCTTCTCTAATCTTTCATTTCTTTCTTCACTGAGGATAGTCTGCTTTAAAACATAAATTTTCAAAAAACTTCCAGTTTTCTTATTTACAACAATATAATAACCCCAAATGGGCACAAACTTACTATAATCTCAGATTTGAAAAGGACCCCAAAGAGGCTTCTGGCCCCCAGGCATATGAATTATTAGAGACAGATCATTATGCTCTCTGTCCATTTTGCTAATTACTCTTAGAATCGATAAGTTCTGTCCACTTACTTGGATATTTTGCATTTGTCCTAGGGCATTCTGATTTGGTTCTGGTTTTTCTTCTTCAAGTGCCTTCTTTTCCTCTTTAGGTGGACTAGTAATAGTAGAATTCATCTGAGGACGACCTAATAAATGAAAATCTGACTGATCTATACCAGCCATTGTGGCAAGCTGCCCAAGCCTGGTCAAGAGGAGGAAAGAAAGAAAAGGTAAGGGTTATTATAATCACATATGAACAGCTTAGACCTCCCCATACCTATCAGCATGAGATACTTGTAAAAGCTTAAAAGCCAATATCCTACTCCAGACTATAACCCCCCATCTCTCCCAGTTTCTCAGACCTTCCCCATATTCATGCTCTGGAACCACATTGGATCATCCAATCCTTTAAGCACTTCCTCTTCCCACCACTTGGCTTTATTTCCTTCCGTATCACCTCTCCCCATTAAATACTGTCCCACTAGCAGCTCCAGCTTCTATCACTAGAGCCTCTCACCTCCACTGCCACACAACTTTACCACCTTTCCTCCACTGTCCAAGAATGTTTGTTCCTTCCTTCCCAGCACCAACCCGTTCACCTACAAAACACCACTCATCAATTATCTATCTCCAGCTCTCTCAGCATCTTTCAGTAACATCATTCCCAGTTGAGAACCACTAGTCTGTATCTGTACCTGTATCTACCCTGCAGATTAATAACAATTTTATTGTCTAGGATAAAAATAACTTTAATTCAAACTTATTTAACAAGACAGGAAAATTCCTATATATTCCTAAATATTTAAAATTACCTTCAATTTAGTCTTTACCAGGAATTATGCCTACTCACTACTCTATCCAAAGATTACTCTTTTATAATGGGCTCTATACCAAGGCAGATTTTCCATTTTGTATTTCTTTTTAAATTAACTTCCCTTTCAAAAAAATCAAATATATTCCTTATAATTATATACTATATATGACTTGTGGAAGCTATGGAAATTGCTCAGGCTCCCCGGCAAATACCATTAAAGTCATGGAGGGAAGAATGCCACAGAGAAATGAACTAACCCCGCATCTTTAAGGAGATCCAAGAAAGCATGAAACTTCTGAAAAGAATTCTCAATGCTTCCCAAAACACCTTCATCATCCAGGATCATGCTTGTCAATGACTGTGCATGAAGAGCTTCAGACAAAGATAAATTTATATTTCTTAACTTGGAATTTTCATGTTCCAGCTATAAAAGAAGATTGAAAATGTGTGACATTATTTTCTCTCATTGTCATCAAAAGAAAACAGTTCTGTGCTTTTTTTAATATGGAATGTTTCACAAAGTTGTGTGTTATCGTTGCACAGGGGCCATGTTAATAAAAGAAAATAGTTTTTAAGTAAAAAACTACAATAAAACATTTTAAAATGTCATTAACTTGTAATGAATCTAACTCTCCACCAGAAAAGACAGGTGACTGTATCACATAACAATCAAAACGAGATGGGAGCTCCAGGCTAAAGGAAAAGCAGCAGGGGACTCCTGAGCAGACAGGCTTCCCCTCCCATTCCCAGAACCAGGTACTGCCTGTTAGTTACGTCTGGATTACTTATTTTAAAAGTCTTCTGTATCAATACTTGTACCTTCATTAGTGTTCCTTCATTGTAAGCTGACTGCATACAAATAGAAACCTAGATGAAATGTGAATAGAATAGACATTTACAAAATTTAAAATCTGGAATATCTTCTCTAATCTTTCATTTCTTTCTTCACTGAGGATAGTCTGCTTTAAAACATAAATTTTCAAAAAACTGCATACAAATAGAAACCTAGATGAAATGTGAATAGAATAGACATTTACAAAATTTAAAATTTGGAATATCTTCTCTAATCTTTCATTTCTTTCTTCACTGAGGATAGTCTGCTTTAAAACATAAATTTTCAAAAAACTTCCAGTTTTCTTATTTACAACAATATAATAACCCCAAATGGGCACAAACTTACTATAATCTCAGATTTGAAAAGGACCCCAAAGAGGCTTCTGGCCCCCAGGCATATGAATTATTAGAGACAGATCATTATGCTCTCTGTCCATTTTGCTAATTACTCTTAGAATCGATAAGTTCTGTCCACTTACTTGGATATTTTGCATTTGTCCTAGGGCATTCTGATTTGGTTCTGGTTTTTCTTCTTCAAGTGCCTTCTTTTCCTCTTTAGGTGGACTAGTAATAGTAGAATTCATCTGAGGACGACCTAATAAATGAAAATCTGACTGATCTATACCAGCCATTGTGGCAAGCTGCCCAAGCCTGGTCAAGAGGAGGAAAGAAAGAAAAGGTAAGGGTTATTATAATCACATATGAACAGCTTAGACCTCCCCATACCTATCAGCATGAGATACTTGTAAAAGCTTAAAAGCCAATATCCTACTCCAGACTATAACCCCCCATCTCTCCCAGTTTCTCAGACCTTCCCCATATTCATGCTCTGGAACCACATTGGATCATCCAATCCTTTAAGCACTTCCTCTTCCCACCACTTGGCTTTATTTCCTTCCGTATCACCTCTCCCCATTAAATACTGTCCCACTAGCAGCTCCAGCTTCTATCACTAGAGCCTCTCACCTCCACTGCCACACAACTTTACCACCTTTCCTCCACTGTCCAAGAATGTTTGTTCCTTCCTTCCCAGCACCAACCCGTTCACCTACAAAACACCACTCATCAATTATCTATCTCCAGCTCTCTCAGCATCTTTCAGTAACATCATTCCCAGTTGAGAACCACTAGTCTGTATCTGTACCTGTATCTACCCTGCAGATTAATATCAATTTTATTGTCTAGGATAAAAATAACTTTAATTCAAACTTATTTAACAAGACAGGAAAATTCCTATATATTCCTAAATATTTAAAATTACCTTCAATTTAGTCTTTACCAGGAATTATGCCTACTCACTACTCTATCCAAAGATTACTCTTTTATAATGGGCTCTATACCAAGGCAGATTTTCCATTTTGTATTTCTTTTTAAATTAACTTCCCTTTCAAAAAAATCAAATATATTCCTTATAATTATATACTATATATGACTTGTGGAAGCTATGGAAATTGCTCAGGCTCCCCGGCAAATACCATTAAAGTCATGGAGGGAAGAATGCCACAGAGAAATGAACTAACCCCGCATCTTTAAGGAGATCCAAGAAAGCATGAAACTTCTGAAAAGAATTCTCAATGCTTCCCAAAACACCTTCATCATCCAGGATCATGCTTGTCAATGACTGTGCATGAAGAGCTTCAGACAAAGATAAATTTATATTTCTTAACTTGGAATTTTCATGTTCCAGCTATAAAAGAAGATTGAAAATGTGTGACATTATTTTCTCTCATTGTCATCAAAAGAAAACAGTTCTGTGCTTTTTTTAATATGGAATGTTTCACAAAGTTGTGTGTTATCGTTGCACAGGGGCCATGTTAATAAAAGAAAATAGTTTTTAAGTAAAAAACTACAATAAAACATTTTAAAATGTCATTAACTTGTAATGAATCTAACTCTCCACCAGAAAAGACAGGTGACTGTATCACATAACAATCAAAACCTGGAGACATCTGACAAAATTTCCTACATAACACTTAGGTAGTGTATAAAAGAAAGTTACTGTTTTATTAATAATCTTTTAAAAGATCAGATTTCTAACTGGTTAAATTCAAACCAGATCAATCTACATTAGAAAATAGCTGCTTAAGGTTACCCTTAAATTAAAAAATGAAAAATAGAGTCTGATTTGAACAAAGCATATTACAATTCTGCTGAATATTAAGGATTAATTTTAGCCAGCATAATATTTGTAACATGTAAGTTTAGAAGTCCTAAATCATACTCAATTTATTAACTGTACAATTACCAACACGCTCACCCTTGGCTTTTTGAAAATATTTACTCCCCTGCATGCTCCTCCCCCTCATCATCTATTCACCTAAAACCACATGTAAGCCAACTCCAGTATTTCTCAGAAAGGCCATTTTGTTCACAATGCACTTTTGCCTTACACAATCAGATGCTCAATATTTATTAAATAAGTAAGTGTCCTCCAATCCAATGCTTACACTTAAAATTCCTCCTTAAACTCACATTGTAATAACAAATTGTATTTATATAGAACTTTCTAGCTTATGCCCTGCTTTCAGGCACATTAGCCTAATTTAATCTTCATAGATTTTTATCTTTTATTGCATTATTAGCAGTTTTCCATTATCTTACACTTACTTAAATTATTCATTTTTCTAATTTACTGTCAGTAGCTAGTCTCATTACCTTCTTTTATGTTACTGTATGTAGAGAATAAGCCTAAGAAGTGCATTCTTGAATTGAAGCATCAGGAACAAAAAATAAGCTGCAGTTATATAAAAACCACAGGGAAAAAAACCCCAAACCACAATGTTTACATTTTTTAAAACATACTTTTTGGAATATATTGACATGACCAATAAATATAAGCAAGTACAAAGGTTAACATAGTGCAACCAACATGTAACACACTATATTTTCTCACTTTAAAGTTTATAAAGTGTGTGTGTGTGTGTGTGTGTGTGTGTGTGTGTGTGTGTGTGTGTGTGTGTGAGAGAGAGAGAGAGAGAGAGAGAGAGAGAGAGAGGATGGCTTAAAATAAACACAAAACAGAACCAAGAAAAAGCAAAAAATTCTCAAAATATAAGAAAAAACTGTTATTTACCTCACTGACTCGTTTATCAGCCTTAAGCCTTATTACTCTTTCTTCCTTTAACTGCTTTAGGCACTCCTCCAGTTTTTCCTAATATGAAGAAGCAGAGTAAATATTATAACTAATTCACAATATTATCCACAAAAGCTCTTCTAGCCACAGATCTTACCAAATATTTAGGGGCAAAGCCAGAAGTGAACTCAGATATTGGGATTATAGTCTACTGCTTATAATATCATACTATGCTACTGAAATTACCAAAAACATATTAAATTAGCACATTACAGATTTATTTAAATCCTGCTCTTTCGTGGCAGCTTACCATAAAAGGCATATACATGTAATAGAGTAGTGAGTTAAAAATAAAAAATTAAGGCCATGAAAGAAAAATTCTATTCTTATTTTGTGGGTTCTTTATAATAGGAAATCCTATTAACATGCTTAACTCACCTGAATTATGTAAATGCAAATCAAAATGCATTTATTAAAAAGTAAACACTTTTAACACACTTTATTAAATGCCAAGCTCTGTCCTAAGAGTTTTCTAGGTATTACTAAATTGAGCATAAAACCCTACGAGGAAAATTTTATTATTAACTCCATGTCATTTTACAGATGAGAAAACTAAGGCAGAGAGAAGCAGAGTAACACACCCAAGGTCAGATCATTAATTAAGTAGTACAGCCAAGCTTTGAATTCAGGAAGTTGGGTGCCATTCCTGGTCAGAAGGTGGTAATCTTCCCCTTCACCAATGTCAATAAAATAGAATGGACATGAATAAACTCCCTTATGATTTTCAGGAACTAAGACTCTCAGGTCCTTGGAGGTGGGATTTGAATTCAGGAAGTTGGGTGCCATTCCTGGTCAGAAGGTGGTAATCTTCCCCTTCACCAACGTCAATAAAATAGAATGGACATGAATAAACTCCCTTATGATTTTCAGGAACTAAGACTCTCAGGTCCTTGGAAGAGGGGATTTTCAGGAACTAAGACTCTCAGGTCCTTGGAGGTGGGAGACACTATTCATGGAAGGTAGAATCCTAAATTGAGCCCCAAGATTCCCTCATGTTGGGGTATACCCCTCTGCCCCACGTAGTCAATCAAACACTAATTTAGGTGCTGTGAAGGGATTTTGCAGATATAATTAAGGTTGCCAAATCAATTTACCTTAAAATAGGGAGATTGCCCTGGGTGGATGTGACCTAATCAAACAACTCATTTAAAGGGACCACTGGGCTCTTGCTGAAAAAAGATCTGAAGTACAAAGGGAATTACGCGTGAGGGAGACTCTCCACTGCTGCTCTGAAGGAGTAAAGTCCACTGTTGTAGGAGAAGTGCAAGGGGGCAGGCCTCTAGTTGCTGAGGGTCTCCGACGGACAGCCAGCGAGGACATGGGGACTGAATCACGCCAACAACCTGAATAAGCTTGAAAGTGGATTCTTTCCGAGAGCCTCCAGATGACAACAGCCCTGACGACACTTTCATTTCAGCTTTATGGGACTCGGTCACATCCTGCCCAGACTTCTGACCAAGGGACTGTGAGCTAATAAATGGGTATTGTTTTAAAACACTAAGTTTGTAGTAACAGAAAACGAATACACCACTCAACCAACACGTTCGTGAACAAAATAAGTGATTGTTATTGTTTTATGGAGTGGTTGTTTGTGCAGCAGTAAATGAACAGACCACCAGGACTTACGAAAACAGCAAGACATATTTATATTTATATATTTTAAAGATTTTTGAACACTCAAAGAAAGAGTTTCAACTTCCAGTTCAGCTTAAATCTGATTGAGGGGAGGAACTCTACTACATACTGACATCAAGAGCGGAAACCGGTACCACTTTCTGAAGTAATCTCTAGTTAACATCAATCCTGTATCTTGAAATTTACCCTAAGGAAATCATTAGAGATGTGGGCAAAGATTTGTCTATCAACATAATGTCATAGGACTGTTCATAACTAAACACTGGAAGTAAGCCAAAACCTCCAGATTGTGATTGGTTTAAATAAAAATATCACATCCATACAAAGGAACACTCTATAAAGCCACTAAAAAAATAATGATAAGGTCTCAACTAGAGTTAATAAATGGGCTTCAGGAGTAATACATTCAAAATTTTTCTGTGTATTTTTCTTGGGAGATGGTCCATAAGTCTAATCAGATTATCTAATGTAGAAGAGTATTCAATATCATGACAGAATATTTTGATACCTTTTTAAGACAAAAGGGCAGATCACAAAATATCCAGGTGTATGTACATGCAAAGGTGTTTTTTTTATTTCCTTCAAGAAGTTTTTCATTGGTTTCAAAAATTTCCTCAATGAACATGTATTTTTAGACTCAGAATATATGTTTGAAAATGAATAAATGCTCTAAAAACTTCAAATTCTTTAATGTTTCATGACCAGTTAAAGCCAACCAAGTTTTTATGGGAAAAGGGAAAAAGAAATGGCAAAATTCCCCTACTTACTCATACGATGCTTTTAAAGTTTAATACTGATATCACACAAATTCTAAACAAACATGCAAACAAAAAATCCTCGCCACAACTGCAGAAAGAAGACTAATATTTCATTTTTGACTGGTTCTAAATAGTACATCGAAATGCAATTACATGAAACAGTTTCTCCCTCTAGTGGAGGGAGTTAGAACATAATGTTACATTTTTATTTAAAAAATGTCCCCTGTCTCCCATTACTTTAAGGAATAATTCATGCTCCTTAAAAGAAATAAGCAAATATGGAACCAAACAATTAGAAAGTAAAACCACTCAATATTCCACTATTTAAATAAGGCTATCATAAAGTGTTGGAGTAATCTTCCTTCCTTCCTGTCATCTGTTCCCCTCCCTCCCTTCTATACACTGGCAAATTAATTTTTTTCTGGAACATAGCTCCCATCATCCTGTATATCAAATTTTATGGTCAACATTTTTCCATATAACATTGAATCAGTTTCTCACATGACTTTTTCAGTGGTTTACAAAATATTCTACTGAGTGGGTTTACTGGTTAACTTAACCATTCCTTTATGGTTAAACACTTATATTGTTTCCAACTTTTCAATATTATAAGATAATCACTTTTATGCATGAATGCTTTCTTCTCCCATATTTAGAATAATTTTCTGGCTGTAAATTAATAAAAAAGGAATCTTAGATCAAAGCAAATGCACATTTTTAAGACTTTTGAGATACCTCCATTCAAACTGCTTTCCAGAAGATTCTAAGATTTTATGCTGCTATCAGCAATGGAGGAATCTATCATTATATACTATACTGTACACTACTATAACCGTTGGTTTACTTTCCCACTTAAATTACAAGACATTTGAGGGAAGGGAGTATATTTTATTAAATGTTTACTCCCAGCACCTGTGCCTACCACAATGCAGACAATCAATAAATAATTTCTAAATAAAGAAATCACTGCAAAGTTCCAATCAAGAAGGTGGAACAGACCGTCCCCAACGTCACTCTCTCCCACAATTGACCAATTTACGACTATTAAAAAGCAATGACAGGGCCGGCCCGGTGGCACACTGGAGAGTGCGCCGCTTAGGAGCGCGGGGGCGCTCCCACCGAGGGTTTGGATCCCATGTGGAGACTGGCTCCCACTCACTGGCTGAGCGCGGTGCGGGCCCAACACCGAGGGTTGCGATCCCGTTACCGGTCAGTAAAAAAGATAAAAAGGAAAAAAAAAAAGAAAAAAGCAATGACAGACAAGCTGGGGACACTAGAGCTCAAGGGAAGAGGAGAAGAGACCTATGGAGTTCATGAAGGCAGGAGAAGCCAGGATGAGAGAAAGGGACTACTCCCACCATTTCGAGCTCAAGCCGCTTCAAGGCTGGCCCTGCTGAGCTGGAAAAGCCACTACTGTGCCCTTTGTATGAAGTTGCTTGGAGGCAGCAGGGAGAAGAGAGCTGATGGTCCCCAAGCCAGCAAGACCACTAACGGGGTTCCCATGGACAACAGAAAAAAGGAGCCACTCAGAGGCCAGTGAGTCACTGCAAAGGACTGGTGCATGGCCCACCCCATGGGAAGTGTTTGGAGACAGGCCCACCAGGGGAACATTGGGGCACCTCATGGACAGCTGATCTGCCCTCCAATCAGCGCAGGACCACTCAGCATAGACTGGTCAGGAATACAAAACTGCAAGGGACGCAGTTTGCTGAAAAGACTCAGGCCCAGACCAGAGTTTCCACACAACCCAGGTGTGCTGGAACTCATGAGACCCAGAAGTACCTACACGGTCAACAATTAAAACCTGAGCTGCACAAAAAGCCTTCCCCAGGGAATAAACAGCAATGAAGCAATTTAGCTCAACCACAGGGCTCAAGTGCTGGTTCCCACAGGAAGTTCCCCCATTTTAGAGGTAAGCAAAGGACAACAAATTAGCTCCACTGCAGTTTAAATGGTGGTAATAGCGAATAATCCAGCACAGAACTGAAAGAAAAAACAAAAAACCCACAAAGTTCTGATATTAACCAGTAAATGTCTAACACCACCAAAGAACACCTATAAAACCTAGAAGGACTGAAAGACCCCCTGGCTCCCAAGCCAAGGTTAGGGGAGGGCCAAGGGCCTCAGCCACAAGCCCCTGACGTTGGCATCCAGCCCAGCGACAACCACCAGGCCACTGCTGGAAATGCCCCAGGCTCCTGAGCCAGGGTGGGGGGCAAGGTGCAGAGGGCTGAGGGCCTCAGCCATGCCCTCCTGACAGTCTGCATCCAGCCCAGCGACAATCACCGGGCCACTCACAGGGCGTCGCTGGAAGCTCCCAGGGCTTCCCTGCTGGAATGAGGGGGGTGCCATGGGCCTCAATGACATCCTCCCTTTTCCTCCTCCCACCCTCTCTTTCTCCCCTTTCCCCTCTCTTTTTCATCCCCAATTGCTCCACAACAACATCTTAGAATGTAAAAATAATAATAAATTTTTTTAAAAAATTCCCTGTCAATATAAGATTTATATACATGAGAAAGGCGGAATGTTTTTCTGTAATTAAATAGGTGAGAGCATGTTATCTTCCTTAATTTGCATTTCTTTGCTTACTAATTAGTAGTTAAATTTCTCTTTTAGATTATTCTT